TACACAGTAAAACCCCCAGTGTTAAATCAACACTCCCAGTGTTTATATAATCCACACTCAGAGTGTTAAAAAAGTAACACTGAAGCAGTGTTAAAGTTAATGACATAATTAGTATAGTAATTGAGTGATGATTGAGTATTATTGATGAACACCTGCTGTTAACAAACTGAATCACTGAAAGAAAGAGAAACAAGAACAGAAAAAAAGAGACGAGACGAGCAGAAATACAAGAACTACACAACTGACTTCAGCCACAGCCTTAGATGAAATCAACACAACATAAAAGAAGACATTAAATCTCTCAAGATCTCGGCAGAGGATGATTAAACAACTCCACAAACAGCATCACCAGCTTCATGCATTACTAACCAGACTGACTTTAGATGTTGATGTTTTAGTTTTGTTTGAATTACCATTACCGAGGTCAGTGTTTCCTTTAGTTGGGCTCTTGACCCTTGTCTTAAAACAATACAATTTCTTTGATTACTATATCAGTGTGTTATTTAGACATGTTTGTTATAGCAATAGGGTGTTGATGGTCATTTTTCAATAAAGAAATCATCAGCGTTTGGCCACGTTCATAACTGATTTTACTCAGTGCATCACCATTGATTGGTTTAATTCGCATTGTTGTTCACATTAAATTAAAATCTTGACCCATCAGATTTAAAATTAGTCTGAAAAAGTTTTAAAAGTAAATCTGCTTTAGAAGCTGAAAGCTGCATTATCATACAGATATCAAAAATCAGCGTATGAATCTCAACAATGGTGGCAATCAACATATTCAGATATTCGGATCATCTGTGAACATCACAAAACAGGTTACTAAAAGTCACAACAAAAAGAGCAAAGCAAAAGGAAATAGTAAGAATAAACGAAAATATGAAGACAGCTGCATAATTTATTCATGTCGCATTGCATGCTGGGAGCCATGGATGAGTTTTGATTGGTGCACCCAGAATGCACTGCAGCATGGAGCTTTATGTTGACTGTCACCATTGTTGAGATTCATATGCTGATTCTTGAAGTCTGTTTGATAAAAAAGTTGAGATTCATATGCTGATTCTTAAAGTCTGTTTGATAAAGAAAAAGCTAAACTTTTAGTGAAGAAAAAGTTTCCAAAGTATATCAGGTGAATCTTAAAACTGTCAGATCTTAAACTATGTGCATCATAAAATCTATTCCAAATTAGACTTATATATCTGCCAGTGTTTCTGGTACAATTTTAATTAGTTATTCAAGTCACTGTACGCTGGATATGTCATTACTGAAACATAACCATCACTTTACCACATTTTCTCTTGGCTTTTTTTTCTCACCATAACTAACATGTCTAAACAAACATGCAGCCAAATACATTCTAGTTTTTAAATCAAGGTTCAAGAGCCCAACTAAAGTAAACACTGACCTCGATAATGGTAATTCAAATGAAACAAACATCAACATCTAAAGTCAGTCTGGTTAGTAATGTGTGAAGCTGGTGATGCTGTTTGTGGAGTTGTTTAATCATTCTCTGCTGAGATCTTGAGTGATCTCTTTTTTTCTGTTCTTGTTTCTCTTTCTTTCAGTGATTCAGTTTGTTAACAGCAGGTGTTCATCAATAATTCTCAATCATCACTCAATTACTAAACTAATTATGTCATTAACTTTAACACTGCTTTAGTGTTACTTTTTTAACACTCTGAGTGTGGATTATATAAACACTGGGAGTGTTGATTTAACACTGGGGGTTTTACTGTGTATTTTCTTGTCTGGGGCTCTCTTGTTACGATGTTTAGAGGGGATGTAAGTGCACTCTCCAGATTCAATGGGTCCGCAGTAATCATATTCTGACTCTGAGGTCCAGCACCAGTTGTAACTATAATCATGTGAGCCACAGGAGTCGTCTGAGCGACAGGACTTGCCTTTATAGGTTACATCCACAACTGGAGAGCAGTAGTCCCAGCCTTTGGCAGTGTGGCACCAGTAGTAATCACCACTCTCATAATACTGGCATTCATCAATGCAAACATAATGATACTTAGATCGGTGGAGGAACATCTTTGGTTCCACAAGCCCACAGTAACCCCAGCTTCCCTCCTTCAGCCAGCACCAGTTGTATTTTTCACCCTGCTTCCCACATGGACTGTCTTCTCTACACTGCTTGTTCTTGTAATCTCTGTTTTCAGATGGAGAGCAGTAATCCCATCCCTGTGCAGTATTGCACCAATAGTAGTCTTGTTTTCTTAAGTGCAGTCTCTCTATGGGATGTGTGATCATAATTCTACCACCCAAAAATATTAAACTAATGTATTAAACTAGAAATGGGTGAAAAATATGTCTCTTGGGTGGAATTTAATAACAAGTACTTTGGGTGTCTTGTTCAGGCTGTGGGTCACTATATAGGCTGTATATTAACTTTTAATCTTTCATGTGTTATTCATGTCACCTTCTGACTTAATATCTCTATTGAAACAGAATGAATATCATTAAAGAACGAACTGAATGATATATGCGTGATGGTGATGAGCAGCTCAGTATTATATATGCATGTTCTTAATGTCCATATGTCTTTTTTAATAACAATGAATATCATTTCAATTTCTCTTTTGTTAATCTGTTTTGGTGAAAACTTATCTAAT